AGAGTCCTTCATTGATTACGTAGATGAAGTATTTGAAATGATTAGCTACAAAACTGCTAACATTACATTATTCTAAATTAAATTTATTAAAAAAGAAGCACTGCTTTAAATTACGATATGAATTGTAGCATTGTACCCATAATTTGTAGCATTGATTGCAATAATTACTTTTGTAATGAATCACTATACTGTAAACAATTTAAATTAAAATTCTAATTCTATGTTAAAGATAGATCGTTCCCGTAAAAAGTCCTATTAACAAAATAACCGAATTTTCAGTTTCGATGCAATTATTTATTGTAACAAATTTTATTTTTTGTGATGTCGACTTGTACCATTGATTTTCAAGAGGCAATATATTAGTTGCATCACGAATATTAAACTTTAATCAAAACTTTACGTTCATAGTTATAAAAATTTATTGTCTCCAAGCAGGGCAATAGTAACCGTGGATTGTTGAAAACCTATTTATGAGTACATGTCGAGATAATGGAGTTTAAGAGATATGTTAAGAGAAGGAAATGAAAACAAATTTAATTCCATCTCACTGAGATCTTCAGTTAGTTCAGTGGACCCAAATGGCTAAATTATTGTCAATAAATCTATCTTCTTTGAAAATATTCATTTTATGTAAATAATCATTCTGATGCAAAGAAGCAAACTGGGCAAGGTGATATGAGGAACTGAGGAATTCGGATTCTATAAACTGTTCATTTTGCCTAAAAACAGCGAATAACAAATAGCGGAATACAAAATCTTGCAATAATTCTAAATTCAAGGACGCATTAAAACAGAAGCAAATAAAAAAATTTTGGTCTAGATCACATGATTCTTGGGGCTAATGTATCTGTCACACCTACATACTGCAAATTTCCGAAAGAAAATTATTTAAAGATATTCTGAGTAAGAAAAAATTCCAGACTTGGCCGTTGAATGTTTGAGGAACATCATATTCAAGGAATCTTGCTATTGCCCTCATTCGCAGAACATGGAATGGTAAAGTACGCTTGTGATTCGGATTACGAGGAAGGCTTCGAAACTCTCCTCTTGATGACCTTGTTTCAGACAATCACGCGAAAGGGAAGACGAGTGGACAAATTGTTACAAGAGAGACTTGCCACAAAGAAGCGCACGGCCTTTGTTTGCTTTCCTCGTATTCTTTGGAGAGAACGAAGTTTGTAATCTTGAATAGTTCCAAAGCCATTACTGATGACGTCAGATGTTTGTAATAGAGGAATATAATATACCTACTCTGAATATGTATACATATATAAATCTCGTTAATTAAGCTTTATATATATATGTATGTGTGTGTGTGTGTTAATTTATTAATCAAGCTAATGGAGTCTTCGAATAACATAATCGTTGGTATTCGTACGATATTTTAAAGCCATCATCTGAATTCACAATCGAAATTGCCTAGTCGATGTCAAGGCAATTTGGCATTCGCCCATCCTACCTGCTTTTTCACTGTCTCCTCAGCAAGAATATTGTTCGCAGCTTATACAAGAGATAGATCAAAGTAGTTGTTATCGCTCGCCTGTTGGCGCTGGGAAAATCTAAAAAGGGGGGATGGAGGCAGTAAAGGAATATTGAAAAGCATTGAGCAGTAAAAACACGTTTAATAAATTTGGTTGCAAAAACATTTTTGAAACAAACTTTTAAGCATATATTCACCCATCTTTCCAAGCACCATATCAATCGATTCTTTATTGGTTCCATTTTCATGTAGGTTTTTAGAGACATTAGATTATTTCGAAGCAGGAGACGTGAAAAATGAGCAATGCCCTTGCCAAACTAGAACCACGGAACTCTCGAATATGCGTCGAGCGTGCTGACCACTACACCACGAAGGATGCTAAGAAGGCGGGACAAATAACTTAAAGGTTCATTTTTCCATTCTAAGAGAAAGAGATTCTAAACTATCAGTCTAATAATTTGAAAACATGGCCATAATTGGGATATTCAGGACACGCAATAGCGTGGCTGTAATAGAAATCTGCGGCAAGGTTTGTCAATGCTTTGAAAAGACTTTAATAGCTTCCACTCCGTTTCTGTATTGCGTAAATAATTTAATTAATAACACTTAGAAGTGCATGAAATACCTAAAATTTTTTAATGGCTTTCAATCACAGGTGTCTCCTGGTTGCACTCAAAAGACATCTAATTATAATTGCAAGAGAGAAGTATGCTGGACAAACTTGTTGAGGAAAAGAAAACCTCGAAACGAAGCACAGTGAACCAAAAAGTGTTTGAAAAATTATGGAAAAGGCTGATATCGTCTTTACAAGGGAAGGAAGAAACAAAGAAAGTTTTTCATAAACTTTTTGCATAAAACTGATATGTCTGTTCCGAGTGTCTAACGTGACATTGATATATTGATTATTAAAGAGTCCCTATATCTGCTGTACATGGAAATACGTAGCTTTACATGGAAATACATAGAACCGAATTAAAAGTATGTGTCAGTTAAAGACTACATTCGTAACAACAGTATTCAAGGCAATTTGAAGGAGTATATCATAGATCTAAAAGACTTTTGGGTTAAACTTTTGGGAAGCAAAAAAGGCAAATTTATTAAGTAAAATAATGAGCGATTTTATGTATTAAGAACCCTATTAGCATAGTCACAGATACATACATTTTTAATCTATGCCAGGAATGTTAGGTGACTGATTAGGCTCTTATTTTAACATGCATATTCAACATTATACTAACTCTAAAACGACTCTAAAACGTATAATTATTCGGATTATAGTAGCCTTTTCCTGCAAAAATTTAATAAAAATAATTGTTTCTATATTCTATGACCTGTAACTCTATGAAAGTATAAAAATGGGGTTTCCTTCTTTTTCTGAATATTTCTCCCTCCTCCTCTTTTTTAATAATAAAAGGAAATATTTAATCTCATATTTGATTAGAATAGTGAACGTGTAGAGTTTTTTTCCCAAGTGTAACGTGAATATGAGCTAGTTTTCCTTAAAACAATCTTCACTAAGGCAGTCCTTCCCACAGATAACCATCATATGCTGAGCCGATTTCGTCTCAAGAGAATATTTCTTTTCCCAGAGTGTACTTTCGTGGTATATGTGCTTAGCAAGTCTAACTAATAATTGGGAAGATCTATGGTTACAAGACCGGAGAATGCAAAGTTGGTATTTCTGTGTTTCTTTGTTCCGAAAGAGATTTTTTAAAAAATGGCCTCTGCAGTGACACCGGACTTCAAAGTGGTGGGCGATATTTTATCATTGCTTGAATTTTGTCAACGAGATCCCATGTTTCATTCCAGTCGCCCTTAAAGGGAAAGGGAAAGAAAGGAAGTATTGCATTCCCCATGCTGGCTGAGGAGATGTAAATGGCTAATATGCCTAATTAATAATGGAAAACTCCCTGTTTCGAATCCTGAGGAGAGCAGAAGTAATTTTTCATATTCCTGGTCAGAAATGTTTTCCCATTATGGCATATAATAAACTTGTATTTTAAGTATGCATAATGATGTCGCTGTGTTGTTTTAAAATAAAGTACTTGCAGTTGATTACACACTAAACAAAAGTTACCGATATTTTCCCTCTTAGTCATATCAAACTGTAGACAAAGGCCATAAAACAAGCTAAAGGAAATGGAACTCATTTTCATTCACGGCGTGAACGTAACGTACCTGATAACACCTCTGGTTTAATAAACATATTCAACATGAGTGACTTCCTCTCTTCTTTCGAATAGATAAATAAATGCACATAGATTATGAACATATTCAGGCTTTATTACATCCGAAAATTAGTTATGGTTAAATAGAAAACCATTCTTCTTTTCTTGCTCGTTTATATTCCTCCTTGCTAGATCTAGATAAAATTTTATTTGCTGAGTATCTTTGCAATTTAAAATATATATATATATATATATAGCAAGATAGGGGAAAATTTAAAAGAAACAACTTATTGTGAATTCGGGATTCAACGCAATGCGTATTCCACCAGAAATATCGTATCAGACGTAAATAAAACTTTCGGAACATAGTTAACACGTAACTTTAAAGAAAAAAAAAAAAAAAAATAAAAATAAAAATAAAAAAAAAAATAAAAATAAAAATGGTTAAAGTCTTGAAATAAAAAAATATAAAAATGTGTTAAAGATAAAATGTAGTTACTTTATAAGGTATTTGTCCCGCCTTCTTAACATGCCTTCGTGGTGTAATGGTCAGTAAAGTCAGTGGTTCGAGTCCTGGCGAGGGCATTACTTATTTTTCATCTCTTCTGGTTTCAAAATAACCTAAAGTCTTCAAAACAACTTAATTTACTTCTTTCTATCACATGTGATCTTACAAGCTATAAAATTAAAAGAAATGGATTCGTTCATATCTTCCATTTAATTGAATGTGTTTAGCTAATTATGTGATACTCGAGATAACGAAATGCCTGACACGCCCATGACTGCCTTTAGATTGAAAAATTTTTCAGTACCAAAAAATTGCAACCATAATCATTTAAAAACACATGCACGCACATATACATATATAGGTATCATTATACAAATATAAGTAGATATAAGAAAGTATTCAATTATTAAAAACCGATCTACTGTAAGGTAGCGCGCAGTTATGGCTGGGCACTCTTGCGAAGGTTTCTGTCTTTTCGAATTGCTGCCAACCTGTATAATGAAGCAGGCACCTTTACAACATGCACCGTTATAAAGCGGTCGCTTCTGTTTGTAATGCTAATGTTTAGCAAAGTTAATAGACGACATTATGCTCTTCCCAACGTCAGAGTTCGTTGACGACATTTGATTTATAGAAATGGAAGGAACAAAGATACAATTACATTTAATTCCCCAAAGGTTATAATAGCTTTGGAGCAGATAATGAGTCAATGGCTGTAAACGCTGAAAAATTTCTGGTGGAGAAGAACAAACCTTATAGATTTTATTAGAATACAATTAATACAGTTACACTATTTAGCTTCTGATTAAGTAGGTTCCTAATGATATGTGTTGTTCTTTTTTAGATCGGCAACGATGCGCAGGTGAGATTTGAGTCGGATGTGGATCGTCGGATGCAAGAGGAGATGTATGGGGACATGACTGGGGTGATGATGACCAATCTGGTGTCATCTTCCCCCGGTCACCAGATGCAGGCGGACGCTGACTCCAAAAAGAAACGTGAGTACCACGTGCAATTCCTTAGCACATGATATTTCATTTTAGTCTGATCTTTGTGAATTTATAAGAAGTTGAAATATTAATTACTTTCCCTATTTGTATTGTACCCATCTTCTTTATAAAAAAAAAAAATCACTCCGTGCACGAAGATTTACAGCAGAGATAACCCCTTGGATTAAAAATGAGCTTTAATATTTTATACGTATTAGGGAGCATTAAAATATAAAGTTTAATGAAATTTATTAACTAAAAAGAAAATATTTCTCGGTATTAGCAAGCTGAACTGGCAATTTTCTTATTATGACTTTAATAGTAATGGGAAGTTTGTGCATGAATGAGCTCATAGTGCTTCTGCAGTGTTTAACAGTTAAATTCGTAAGGCATAAGAAAAGGGAACAAAGTTTTTTAGTGTTTGGTTATTTACTTATACTCACTCTAACATTAAACGTAATGGTACGCCTGCAAAGCGTTTGGATGCTTTCATGAAAATCAAAATTTGAATGTTCTTTACTTCTCTCATTATGCTTTCATTTATTTATCTTACTATTTTTGAATTATTTCAGAAGTATGTCCTTTATAAGCGAGATTTCATTTTAACGATAGACAAAGCTGCAGAGTGAGCTGACGATTAATAACATATGCACATTACTTTTCGACTAATTACTTCGATAATTACGTTGCGCATAAACAATCTTGTTGATGTTCACTTTTAAATATTTAATAGCAGATACCAGGTGTATAAAAATAGGGTAAGTTGAGATATATTAGCAATGACTGAGAATCCTCTTTGGATTTTCACCATGGCTGATTGAAAAAATATTAATGTCTGTTCAATAATATGCATAATTAAATTTCTGCCAAATGCAGGATTTTTTCGAATAATTTTTTCGATAATTCGAAATATTTTACTTTATTTAAATTTTAAAACAAGATTACTGTTAACAAATTTAATATTTGTGAAGGCTAAGATATTAAGCATAAAGAATGAAAATTTTGCCTATCACTTTTGTCAACGATTACGAAACTGTTGAAAACAGTTACTGAAGCCGTTTTTAAGATGATTTGTAACATTAAAGATGACATAGTGTCAGGATTGATATCTATTCAAGTTAAATTTCAAAGGTGTAAGCAAAAAGTAAGCTGGGAACACCTAGAATGATGCTGCATTTTGAGAACTGAGATGTTCTGTGCTGCCACATCATGCCCCGCTAGATATAGTTTAATCGCCTTGTTTCAATAATGCCATTTCGATTAGTTTTGCTTCTACTGGAAAAGAGTTTCTGGGGTTACACAAGTGTTTCACAGCTTTCCTAATTTTAATAATGCAAATTTTGGCCCATTTTCACCTTTTCAAGCATGAGGGGATTATATTCTAGGAATGTTTTGAAAGTTATTTTATACACACGTCCTTATACGGCTTATATTAAGTTTTAATATGATAGACAGCGTTTTGTTGCTTCAGCTATTAACGGGAACTTTATTTTTTATTTATTTTATTTATTTATTTATTTTTTTTTTTTGTATTGTTGTTGTGACTTATCTCACTTGTCTGACAATAATATGGAGAGACCTCGAGGGACGGATCCAAGGGTCACCCACCCTTCTTCCCTGCCTCCAACCTCTCGAGAAGAATTTCAGTTTGTCGTGTATTTAGAGTACCCATATACCACAAAGATACTATACAATTACAAACGTCCATGTCTTTCATTTAATTCAATGTCAGATTTCAAATATTTTCATTCAATTCAATGTCAAACGTCTAAACTGAATGGTGTAAATATATAGTGTCAGAAAGTATTTCAAAAAGAATTTCGAAAGTATTTCAAGTACTTCAAAAATTTCAGGACTTCCAGTTCTGAAAATTTTTAAATACTTTTGTAGCTCTAAACAAGCACAGACACTTGGAGTCTTACTTTAAAAACTTAAACCATTTAATATTATATTTCGAAACGTACTCTAAAACGAGATATGAAGATGAGAATGTGAATGCTTTAAATATTCTTGCCACAGAAGTAATAATTGTTATCGATGATCTGGTTATCGATGATGGTAATAAAACGCAGTGAGACGTTTCGAAAAGCAAGCCACAACATCAAAGTCATCACCAAAGCATTTGTGTCGAAAACTCTAAGGTAGACATCCAAATTTAAAGTAGCTTCTAGCACAAGTAGTAGAGGCAAAGGGTGTGTACTTCACATTCGTATCTTTAAGGGCTGAATTCCCGCTCAACACTGTCTAGAATTCCGAAATTCATTGGTGCTGGAGGCTTCAGGAGGCTTGGGAGAACAAGAGCGGGATTGTGTCCTCCCATGCGTATAAGTGGCTAATCTTCGGGATTGACGTCAATCATTTCCACATTTTACGCGCCACTGGCTCAGGCTCCGTAATATCCCTCCCACGTTGATGGAGGACAAGTTTCGCTTACTAAGAATTTAGCTTCCAATTAAGAAATTAACCACATTAAATCTGATCTTTGGTGAGATTAAAATAAAACCTGGTGCTCGACTTAACAATGATTCAGTAAATAATAATAGAAAATTGATCGAAAATCAACCGGCTTAAAAATTTGGTTCAAAGAAGTTATATATTAGTAGGAGAGAATTCGCAAAAAGTTTTGAATGACACGAAATGCTTGCAAGTTGTTGTACTTGTTTTTCGAAATCTCAAAATAATACTTGAAATTAGTATCCCGGCTTAAATGAAATTATCTTTTCGTTTTTGATTACTAATTTTATTTTATCTTATATATTATATATATATATATTTAAGAAGTCTTCTTTGTAAGAGGTGAAAAACAATGAAATCTTTGAGATACCGAATTCCACATGCATTTAATTTTTCCTCAATACGGGCCATTTGTGAATTGCCTTAGAAGTTTTATCGATAATTACTCGGCAGTTTAGTAATGGATAACAGAATTAATTTTAAAGAATGCCCATCAAGTCTAGACTAACTAAATACAAATGCATGATGGTCTTATAGAAAAACATTTACTCATTAAATAAAATGGAATCTTGAGCAATGTCTGAGTACAGAATGTTCAGATCACAAGTCAAATTTCTGCATAACTTCGATCAGATGTATACTTCATTTTACATAAAGGCAAACATATCTGCGAAAAGTAATATAATTTTTTGAATCACAAAAGAAACGAATGAAGCAATTGCTACATTAGTGAATAAAAATTATTATTATCTACTCTTTTTGTCTTAAACATAATTTAACGAACCAAATTATGCGACTCGTAATGTGTTTTCGCGTTTTTCATTAAAACGGTGTACTTCTCTACGTGTAAATTCAAAATTTATATGAAAGGCAAATTTTTCGTTTAATATTTTGAAAGTTGCCTCTTGTAGTTGAGAAATAATACACTTTTTGTAGCCCGAATAGAATAAATATATGACATCAAAGAATAGTGATAATGATTTCTGTAGACTAATTAGAAATAATTATCACTATTCTTAAATCCTAGGTATTTATTCTGATCTGGCTTTAAAATTGTTTATAGAAATTTTTCTGGATCTTCCGATGTTGCGATTTAATATAGCCAACTTAGCTCATCCCCAATCATTATTCAAAAAAGCAATTAATGATTTAATCTTCAATGAAGGACAATGGCGAATATTTGGAAAGCAACTGAAGAAAAGCGATTTTATTGATTTAATACAGGAAGAACTTTACGTTCGTAATATCTTGCTTACATATAATTAGCCGCTTTTTATTAATAAAAATTATGTGAATATTAACGTAATTGAGATACTGATTCACCACTAACAAGATACTGATTCACCACTAACAAGATACTAATTCGCCACTAACAAGAAGAAATTAGCAGCTTGTGAACAGACAATCAGCACATAGTGAATATAATCCTTTATTTTATTTATTTATTTTCCAATAAGAAATAATTAGTAGAGTAAAAAATATATTCCAGACCCTACTGCTACTGGAAATTAATGAACACCAACATCTGTAGGCTAATCGAAGTCTAGTGCTGCAACTTCAGGCAGCTGAAGATATTTGAAATGGCTGCGACTATCCATATAAAGCATAAATCATTATCTTATAGTGTAAAGTTAACTTTCCAAATTCTACGTTTGGTAATCTCTGTTAATAAGATTTTAGGTCTTTATAACGTTTTGCCTAGCCATTGGAAATTAAAAAAAAAAAAAATAAATAAAAAAAAATAATAATAATAAAATAAAAAAAATAAAAAAAAATAAAAAAAAAAAAAAAACTTTTCGATAAATTTAACAAATTTAAAAAATCTGTTTTTTTCCCCTTTTAACCGATCTCATTCATAAATAAAATGCATATATATATGCGTATGTGTGTATGTTTATGTATAGTCTATTAAAACTATATATTCTTTTCTTTTCATTTCTATTTTTAATACTGTCATTGCAAAATTTGCCATACATTTGCTTATCGAATAATGCTTTTATAACTGCCAGAAGAAAGACTATGAGTATCTGAATTATCATTTCGATTTACACTTTTTGTGATACTAACTGCAAAGTAGAGGTTAAGTTTAAATCTTACCGTGATTCCTTCTTTGGACAGAAAAACATTGTTAATAAGTGTAAAGTATTCTTCTTATAATAGCTAGTGTGCAACTCTTCTTCTTGCAACGACTAATGTTGTGAGCCATTACGACACTTGTTGTGATGGCTAGTGGTTTCCAAGAAGTATAGAAGATCGAGAGGTAGAGAAGATCGCCAGACCAAGCAGATGGTTCTGCGAAGTTTAAGTGAACGTCGGCTTTTCAGCTAGATACAGAGATTTACGTCAACTTGATCCTCACATCTTCAAAGCACATTAGAAATTTTAGTAGATTATGACAGCCACTTCTCGAATGATCTAGGAGATCGAAGTTGCCATGCCAGATAGTTGGTTATATGAATTTTACTCGACCGGTACTACCGCTTTTCAGTTAGGTGCAAGGGATTAAGCGAACCTGATCTTCACATCTTCAAAGCAAGTTAGAAATTTGAATGGAC